GTGTCCTACCCCTTTGTTTTCTGTGTCCTGAGAAGCAGGTTTCTCACTATGTTGCGTGGTTTTCAGTTTGTTTTCTTAATTTGATGCCTCCTCCCCCCTTACACCTAGCCTTGTCCATCCGCTCAGCTCCAGCACTCTAATTGATTTTTTTTTGGGGGGGGGGGGGGGATTAATGAAATTGCATTTTAAAACCATTTGAAATAAAGTTGTATTTTTCTAAACTGAACTGCGTCTCTTGCCTTAACGAGTAAACTTACCTATGTACCTTGTGCTTCCCAGATTTCTCTGGGTGAAATTCCCTGGGTGCCGTTGTTTTTTCTTTCTTAATTTGGTTTAATTTACACCCTAACCTCGCCAAAAACTCAAAGTACCTGACAAAAAGGCACAACTGCGATATCTGTGTCAATGGACTCATCAATAGCCAGTGAAATTTATTTGGCTTCCTTGAACCCGTCAATGGCCGCTCGCTGGACTTGCTCTGCCAAAACGTGTACACAACGTCCATTAGTTGAGGCAGATAGAGGTACTTGTTTGACAGATGCAATAACTCTGTCCATTGATTTATCGCAAGTTCCTCCAGAACGGTGATCATGCACTCCTTTAAAACTTCACTTTTCGTGAAAGGCCGGTTATGTCTGCAAAGCAGCCTGCATGGATGCACACGTCACTCACTCTGATCTGTTGATCAGGATCAAGTTTGAGTAATTATGCCACTTGCAAGGGAGTATGCATATTTCTATGTGGCGATTTTTCTCTGACTGCTCAGGATATGAAATCTTAATTTCAATGTTTAGTGTCGTCGCGAAGGCGCAGATTGTATTCTTTTGTAACAGTTTTGTTGCAAATTAGGCATACTGGTGAGGCATTTCGGAAGGTTGGCATGGTGAATTTTCAGTTTATAAAAAAAAATTGTTATATTCACTGCAACTCCTGTTTCTGCTCTATTTCGGTTTGTGTACCAGCTGTTTACCCTTGTAAGCAGGGCTTGACAATAACATGTTTGCTCACCAGACACTGGCTAGTTGTTTTCCAAAGTAACTAGCCATTCAGCAATTTCCTCAGCCACAATTTATGTTGTTGGCTAATTGAGTTTAATTTCATTAAAGTTTACTGTGATTTGCCACAATTTACTTGAACTAGATTTGCATTCCTTTGCACTATAAATGACCCTTATAAACACCAAAATCAAGACTACATAAAATGTATATGTACAGTGAACAAATCTTCAGCTCTTACAAGCTCCATCTGTATGAACACAAATGTGACTGACTGAGGACAGAACGAGAAGCTCATTGCATATGACTGATGCAGGGGTGTAAAACTCTTCGACTTCACGAGGACATTTATCGCAAAACTTTATTGCCTTCATCCTTAGTTGTAATGCTTTTGACCAACTGAAACTTCATGGTACTTTGTTTTCACTGTGAAATTGCTTGTCATGAGTGGTTATGTAAGACTTTCAACTTGCATGTAAGTTCAGTTTCCATGCAACCGAAAAACACTTCAAGAAACAACCGCAAGAAGTAGTTCGGTACATAACCCGAGAGAAACAGGGAAATCTCTTTTTTCCTTTGTTTCCTGTCTTCACTTTCAAATGTCGTTCTGACATTCGAAGTATGCAAGGAGGTGTGAAATGGCACGCAAGGGACACGCAAGGGGCTCTTGCATCTGCATTTCCTTGCGTTGCTCTAAAAAATGCAGAATCATAAACTACGCTTTAAGGGAAATGGGACAGAAATATTTAAACACACCGTTATTTGACAAAGAACTGAGCAGACGTGAGCCAATAGTTCGTGTTTTTGAACATATCACCAGTTAAACCTAATACTCGTTAGATTGAAGACGCAACATAAAAAACAAAATGGATTCTGCGTTGCCCCTTTCCATGGTCCTTTGTTTCCACTGGGAAATTGCTTGTCCCAACTACCAAAGACACCCCGTTAACCTTTTTCTTTGTCTTCATTTTTGGTTTCATCACCAGTTTTTCTCTTTTGTCTGCGTGGGTTTTCCTACATCTGCTCTGTGCCGCCACATCCTCGCTCACTGAGCACGTATCCTCACGTTGTAGCAAAAGCCTCCACCCGTCACTCGTGTTAGAGTGTCTATGTTGCTTAGTAACGAACGTATGGTGGCCGAGGCGGTTTAACAAGCTTCTTAAGATGTGGCTTGTGAACTGGTTGAATGCGTGCGTCTCACGCTCAATGCGTAAGGCTTGAGAACCCTGAACTGAGTTTATTATTTTAGATGTGCTTTGAGAAGACTACTGTAACCGAGCGTTCTGGGTTCGTGGATGGTGCGCTCATGACACGTTAATAACCGCCGTTACACTTCATGACGTTTAGAGAGATGTATAGAATTCCACCCGCCAATGTAACTCGTGAGAGAGAGTGCTTTACTTGCCACAGCTGAATTCTACACACATTTGGCGTGTGCTAATTTCAAGCCCTGCTTGTCTCCCACAACACCACACAGATTTTAATTTAGTATTAAATTGGGAATGATGCTGCCGTTTGCTGTAAATATGGATGGAAAGTGTGTTAAAAAAGATTTTTACCATTTAATATGTAACCGGTCTTGTGCGTTTGTTCATTCCATACGTCAGTGCTTTCAAAGGCTCTTTAAAAGAATAGTTTTATCTTTTGGCTGTTTTTTTGGGTGGGATGAGGAGATGGATAATATTACGCCTGTCCATTCAATATGAAGCTTCACCCAACAATTTTTGGGCTTAGTTGAGCGTAAAGTTTGTAGCATTCCAAGTATTGTTCTTCGAATCTTTAATCAACTTATTATTCCTCTATTTCTTCCGTGGCACCTTTCAACTCCTTCACACTTTCAGCTATTAAAACCGTTCAAATATTAAAATATTCAGCTCCTTTCCGGCTTTCCAGTTATGACTTTTCAGCTTTCTACCTCTTGAGTTTGAATTTATATGAATCAGTAATCATGAATATTTCTTTTAATGGTTTTCCAATGGAGATTGTGTTCAAATCCTCTTCCAGCCAAAGTATACACTTTTGATGCTTAATTTCTTTGGTTTAATAATGATGGCATGGTTGTGCTGATTGGATTATGTGTTCATGGAATCCCAGAGTTCTTTTGTTGTGGCTTAAGGAGTGTTAAAGTGACACAACCTCTGCCAAAAGCCCCATAGGCTCCAATACAAATCTGGCGACATATTTCTCAAAAAATCCAGAAGGTACACGGTTTGTAAACTGCGACAGGAGCCGTATTTATTACCAGACAGACATAAAAACTGGAGTCCATCCCAGCCAATTTCAGGCGATAGACAGGGTACAACCTGGACTGGTCGCCAACCAATCGCAGGGCTACACAGAGACATACAACCATTCACACATCTATGGGCAATCTGTGTGTGAACAGCAATTTAGAGTCACCAATCAACCTGATCCCCAGAGCATGTCTTTGGACTGTGGGAAGCCGGAGAACCCGGAGAGAACCCACGCAGACACAGGGAGAACATGCAGACTCCACACAGAAAGGCCCCTGGGCGGAATCGAACCCAGGACCTTCTTGCTGTGAGGCAACAGTGCTAACCACCACGCCACCGTGCCGCCCTGGGACCCCGGGACACCTCAGTCCCACCATCTGTCATAGTGAATTCAAATAAATATACGTATTTTTCTCGTGTAGACCAGGAAAAAGCTGTAGGCCAGTTACCAGTTACTATTACTAAAAGAACATTGATGTTACTACAAAGTAACAACAAAGGATATCTTCCATCTTCCTTTACTAACCATATTGTCGCCCCAGCTGACCTGTGGTGCCTCTATTATAACCAACAGAGATTTGTGAATTACACCAGAGATGCAGTGAAAGCAATTGCTGGACAGCTAGATGCTACTTTACTCATGACCTGGCAGAATCGTATGGCTTTAGACATGCTGCTAGCTGTAAAAGGCTACGTCTGTAAAATGTTTGGAAATTTCTGTTGTACATTTATTCCCAACAATACAGCCACTGATGGAAGTAAAACGAGGGCCCTAGAGCAGGGGTCATGAACTCGCCGAGAGGTACCGACTTTGGCGTAA